GAGGCAGCCTCCCTTACGTGACGGGTGTGCCTCCCGTTAGTTAGCTGCTGGGAAGCGGGCACGTGAGCCGTTTGGTTAAATATTTCTGTAAAACGCTCTGATTTTTTAGTAGATAGGTGCTACGGTTGGTCATCTAAATCCAATTAAAAGAGCAGCACGTTTTGCCCTTGAAAAAAACCCCTCACATTTAAATGAAAACACTTTTTCTTCATAATGAGGATAACATCCCCGTGAGTCACACTTACAGTGTATTTTTAAAACTAAAACTAGTGGGTTTTTTTTTAAATAAAATTTATTTAATGTTACTAAGCGCTATGATGTATTCTTCATAATACTGCTGTAAAACAGTTCCTTTCTTGTCAGATTTTGCTGTTGAAGATACCTTTATTATTTTAAAAAAAGTTAATTCAACTTATTGTATTGATATGTGCCTTTGAAAAATGTAATATTCCATTTCTTTTTCTTCCAACTTGCAGGTTAATAATTGTGGTCTTCAGCTGGTTATCCAGACCTCGTCCATAACAGATAAAAGCAAATCAGTAATTATTACCTTTTCTTTAATAGTTACATTAAGTAATGCAGTTGTATGGTACGGACAAATTTATATGCTTTCAGATAGGAATTGCCTTTTCAGTAGTAATATGTTGACTTTTAGTATAATTTTTGGTGTATCTGTTAGTCTCTTGGTAATTTCTTTCATCCTATTAAATAAAGTAAAACCATAGAGATGTACTATAGCCTGCCATAAACACATATATATATATATATGATTTCTTATGCTTCCATCTGTACCTCTTTTCCTCCTCTACTTGCAGTACTCCTTATAGGGTGTGTTGGGGTTTTTTTTTTCCTTGTTTAGTCAACTGCAGATGAATGTGCTGGTAACTTCCATATTTTCACTTTGGTTTACAGCAATGAAACTTTCCAGTGGTAGTGTCTTAATAGGATGAATACTCTTTTTATTGGAGTAATTATTTTTTTTAAGCCTTTGCAGAGTTTCTTGAGAACTGTAGTTGTTACTAAGGTTATGTTTGATGCATAAAGATGTTACTTGCATCTGAAAACTTTAATATTTGTCTTAAATATTGTGTTACAGTTTGAATTCAGGATAAATAAAGAACAGTCATCTTTCCACAATAGACTTCTGCAGCATGATCTGGAAAAAAACTATTCAGGAAGGCAAGGTGATACTCAGTAGGGTTTGATTTGTTTGTATTGTGTGTCTCTCTCTATTAACTGGACTGTAAAGAAAGACTGTATTATGATTAGACTATGTAGGAGTGACAGCTTTTCCGAACTGGCTACAGTAATTCCATGTAATTACTGCAGCATCATGTCCTGAACCCACCATCCTTCTACTGCCTAGTGCAGGTAGCCTTTTTGATCCCTTTTTGCCCCTTGCTTTGTCCATGAAAGAACATCCTTTCTTCTACCTACAAAGCCACATCTATCGAGAGCCCTGCTATACGTTCCCTCTGCTGCAACATTTTATCGGATGTTTAACATTTTAATGTATTTTGACCAAATTAGTTTCTAATTCAGAACCCTGACATGAAGAGATAGTTTTCCTATTGTGCTTGTGTGCTTTTGACTTTCAAAAGCAAGATATTTAGTGATACCGCCACTGCTAACCATGGTGAAGCCTGGAAGAGCCTTGAAACACAATACTACTTGCCACACTGCAGCTTGCCTATCACGTAAAACCAGTGATTGGTTAGGATAGGAGAGCAGTTTAGTTGTTATGCCAATTCTTTATTCATTCTGGTAAAGAATAAAGACCAACAGCTGTTCAGAATGGGTTGATTTTCAGGGATATTATACAACTTATTGTGGAGTAAATTTAAGTCTGCGGTTTGGTTTTGTCCCCCCCACAGGAGACCAGAGAGTATTAAGCCCTTTGGTGCGTAATAAGCAGTTGTATCTTCCAGTACCGTCCAGTCTGACAGAACTTTCTGGTTTGGAGTTGAAGCAGAATTCAGGTTCTTTATCAGGATTTGGCGAGTCTTCTGTTCACACACCTAAAAAATCCAGATCCCAAGAAAGCAGTTACAGTATTAGTTCACATGCTTCAGGTAACAGTGAAAAATTTTATAGTCTTTTTGTTTTGTTTTTTAAACCTGAGTGTCATACTGGAAAGTTATGACCTGTAAGATGTGCTGCTTCTGGCTGTCAGACTGTATGACTGAATAGCAAGTGTTGCCTGCTGTTCCCCTCAGGTATTGAGAGATTAATAGATCATTGTCAGGAAACTGCTAGAAATACTTTCCAAAATATATTATAAGTGTTTAAATATAGGCTTTTTGTGTACCATCTGTTAGCAAAAGGGCAGTAATGGGGATCTTTCAGACATGTCTTTAGGAGAATGACATTACAAGAAAAAAGTCACTGTACTGCCATTATGTCATGTTTCAGACTGATTTTTAAGTCTCTGGTCTTATGTTTATTGGCTTAAAAACCTGAGACACATCTAGTTTTAAGACTTTTGCAACATGTTAATTGATTATTTTTGGTCTCATGATGTATTATTTTTCCTTCACAGTCTTTCCACTTTGAAGGATACACACAGAATGTTGGTTGTTACGCTGGTTTGTTAGAGTAGCTGGTGATAAACTGTTAGAGAGTAGCACTGAAAAGATTCTAAATGGAAAAACAAATTGGTTTACTTACATAGGTATCTCTTCTAATGGCATGTTTTAGACAACAGTGAACTCGCTCTCAATAGCAGTAAAGCAATTAATCTTTGTTTATTGAAGAAGAATAATGGTTTTCCCATTAACATCTTTGAGTTATTTGAAGGAAGAAAAAAAAAAGGGGGGGGGCAAAACCGTCTAAGTTGAGCCTATATTCTGGTGGTAGTATGTGCGCGTGATGATTTTACAGTTGGATTTGATGATCTTAAAGGTCTTTTCCAACATAAATGATTCTGTGGTCTATTTTTGACCAATATTTTTCAGTGGATCATTTTCCAAATAAGCCAAACACACTCATTGATTTATTTTGCAGGTATTTTTGGTCATCCTCCCTCTTCCCCTTATATCAACAAAATGGATAAAGATGGGTAGCTTTGTACTTATGTTTTGAAGGGCTGCCCGTTTCTTTCATGCATTTACCTTTAAAAGACGTGGCATTTGTTTGTGGCTAAGTGGGGCTGTTTGAATGTTTTGGTGCTTTAGTTTCTGGTTCTGTCAAAATCTACTTGATCTGTGTCTTTAAATTCATCTTAGGTTAGATTATATCATCTTTAAGTTCAGATACTGATATTGTGAAACAATTATACAACCTTGCCTTCAAACACCATTGGGTCATTCTAATCAAAACAAAAGCATCTACAAAATACCTGTTTACAACGAATTATTGTTAAAAATCTCTCAGAAAAGAAACAATGGACGTACTTTGGAAAGAGAATGTAGAGGAATGTAGTTGTACACAAAAAATGGCATGAAAGAAAACTGATAAAGTACTGTATGGAGGCAAAATGCACTTTCCTGTACTCTGTAACTCTTTACTTTTAATAAGAAAGAAAATTGTGCTTTTATTTGTAGTTAATGAAATGACTTTACAAAGTAGTTCATATATTCTCTGTATGATTTTCTGATAGATAACACAAATTTTGGGAGCAGTTCATCAATAACATTTCCAGTACTGCAACGTACTGCTGAAGAAAAAATTCTGAGCTCTGACAGACTTACCCTGGAAAGGTGAGACGGCTGCAGAGTACGTGCACTGTGGCTTGCGATGCTTGTGTCCCACAGTCTGAAGTGATAAGTGTCCCGGTAATGCCTGTGGTGTGTTTGGTTTTGTTGGGGTTTTGTGTGTATGTGTGTGGTTTGGAGAGGATAACTCTGTCCTGCTCAGAAATGCTGTATGAGTGGCCTTGTGAGGAGTCTCCATCCAGCAGTCATCCGTGGCAGTTAGGGCTTTTCGCTGAGAGCTAAGGAGCTAGCTGAAGAGTCAAATGCAAGGCTGTGCGTGCAGTCTGTAGGAAGAGGCTATGTCTCCCTTAGTTCTAATCTGGTGCATTGACTGTAGAATGGTCTTTTTTTATTTTTTTTTTAACCAGGACACACAAAAAAGTTTTATCTGAAAGACATTTAATGGTAAAATTTTATTTTTTTTTTGGTCAGGTAAGACGACTACTTCTGGAATAATCCTAAAATAAGAATAACCATTTTCAGCGTCACTTCCTGTATCTTTTACTTTTTCACATTAACACTTATTATTATATTTCAAATGTAAAGATCTATAAACCAAAGAAAAGTTGCATAGACATAGAACACTTTGAGTTCTGATCTCAACAGGCTTCTTATGTGGTATCTGATGAAAAAATGAAAAAACCTGGCAGGCTGTATCTGTTGGGTTTTTAGTGTCATCATAACACAAAACTTCCGTGTAGTTTCCAAGTAACAAGCAAATCTGTGATTAAGAGGAGAGGCTTTCAGAGAATTTTAGAAGCATTTCTGCTATATTTTCATGCTGATTTTTTTTTTTTTTTTTTTTTTGTAGTAAGGTTAGTTCCGTATTTACAAAATTTAAATAGCAAACCTATTTACCTTGATATTAACTTAATCAGGATAATACTTTCCTTGGTTCAGTCAGAGCAGATGAGTAGAGGGTGGATTACCAAGTCATTACTTATGTGTGGGTTTTGTTTTGTTTCTTTCTCCTTCCAGGCAAAAACTGACAGTGTGCCCAGTTATCGATGGAGAAGATCATCTCCGCCTTTTGAATTTCCAACATAACTTTATAACTCGCATCCAAAATATTTCTAATCTGCAGCATCTTGTTTTCTTAGATTTGTATGATAATCAAATAGAGGAAATAAGTGGCCTTTCAACTCTGAGATCTCTAAGAGTCCTTTTGTTGGGAAAAAACAGGTAAAAATAATAAAACAAACTTAAAGCACCTTACTTCTTTATGGCATAACTACTGTGATCTATCATTGCTTCTGTTACAGAGTTTTCAGATTGCAATGTTGGTTATGAGACCAGTGAGCTGGTAGCTAATGCTAGCCAGGTGTTGGCACTGAGGAAGCACACAGTTTTTGCTCATAATGTTCTTCAGAAACTTCCTTTCTTATGTAAATTTTAGCAACGGTTCTGAAGTATTTTGCGTGTTTCCATCTAATCTGTTCTAATTGGCTATCAATATGTGTTCTTCGATTTGTGTGACAGGTGGAATCTCTTTCCACATCGTGTGAATTAGTCATTGATTCTTTATAACCTGTAAAAATTATTTCTGCTTGAGGTATTTAGCTGGGAAAAAATCAGACAGATGAATCATGGATTTTATAGCTTATTTATAGATTCTATTCTGTTGGGAGATATGACTTGCTAGTTATATTACTTTCTGAAAATACAGTTCAAATCCTATGGCCTTTAATTCTAATTGTTTAATAGAAGTATCTGTCGAATTGCTCAGGTATCTAAGAGTTGTGCTCTGATTTTGTTCGGTTTCCTTATGTTCTTGATATTTAGTAAAGGAAGAACTAACTGATAAACAAACTTCGGTTATGTGCAGATTGCAAAGCGTGTATCTCCCAATCCAGCCTGTATTCAAAACTGACAGCTTTCGATAGTGCAGTGTGTTACTGGAGCTTATAGCTTTTATATGAAAAATCTCACCTGTAGAAATTAATTTTGTATATATCAAAATACTGGGGCATGAGAACGATAATTTTAAGGTGCTTTAAGGAATTATTTTCCAAATCGTAACTGCGTTGAGTGCTGTGTAGTTCATTTACGTAGAAGTATGGTTTGCAGGTAGTCAGGACAAGACACAGTCATAAAGGATTACAGGTCAGACACAATTGCTAGCAACTTGTTTTCAGCTTGATCTATATGTGATCTTTGATTATTCTCGAAGCAAATGCATAATAGATGTGATATTTAATATCATCAGACAGTAGATGATGCTGTTGTGCATATAATAACCTAGGTTTGGAATCTGAGAAAATAGGACAGGACGGAAGAATTTTAAGACAGTGAAGTTGTACAGGGAGAGAAGAAATACTGCCAAATCTAGAGATGTATATTGTCTACAGAGGGTCAGTGGCTTTCAGGGTTTTTTTAAATTCTGTGTTCTTCTAACAAACTCTCAAAAGCCTGTGTCGCCATAGCCTGTCTTTAAACTGGTTTGGAATTAGCTGTTTGCCAGTAATGTTTGGTTTCTTTCTTAGGTGTCTGGGTAGGTTGGTTGTTGACTTTGTTTTCTAGTGGTGCAAGTATTCCTTCCCTTTTTGTCTTCCTAGCATAGCCACGTACGTACTGCTGCTATTGCATTATTGACAGTCAGGAAGGAAGGTGATAGTCTAAGGCATACTCATTCATTTATTCGTTGGGTTTTTTACATGGTTCAGAACTTTGCTATTCTTCTGTTACTCTTGGTAGGCAGGAACAAATGGCTAGGTTTTGTATTAGCTGGAAAATATACTTTTTGCTTTTTATGAAAAATAATTTATGTCATAATTGAAATCTTTCAGAATAAAGAAGATCTCCAATCTGGAGAACCTAAAAAATCTTGATGTTTTAGATCTTCATGGAAATCAGGTACAGTAACTTGATTATTTACATTTCTTGTCTAGACAGCATGCATTTCCTGTGTCTTTTACCGAACTATTGTTTTTTGAAAGGGAACTGGTAGCAGAGTTTGCAACTCTTGAGGTCACAGAAATCAGTAAATTAATAAAAGGTGCAATGTTATTTTGAATCTTGGGATCAAGTCTCTTGTACTTTTTGAAAGTTACGGTGATTAAAATGTCGAGTCAAAGGAGTACAATAGCACTCACCCCTACAGAATAGTAATCTAGCGTGAGTAGTTGTGTAGTTAAAGTAACACAGTCTTGGAAGTCATAGAAGAATTTAAGGTCCCATTGATGGTTGTGTGGTTTCTACTATTGGTGATCTTGCACAAGACCCTTACCTATCTGTAGAAGACAAAATTGTACAAGAAAAAGGAGAACGGGTCCAAGCACTTGATTGATTCACGCTCCTGAATGGGCTTGAGTCACTAAATGTCTATTCAGTTTCCCTGGTTTGGGACTAAGCAGTAATTTCTGTTTCAAGTGATGCCTAAGTTTTAGCTGTAGTACATAGAAGAGGAAGATTCTAGTTTGATGCGTATGTCCGAAGCAGCATGGAGTATTAAAGGCAAGCTGGATATAGTATTCTTTTGTAAAATAAGTTTACAACACACATGATACAAACTGTTCCACGGTCGATCTGTCTAAAACAACATATGGTTATTGTGGCTGTACAAGACGAATGTGTGAATTTTCTGGATTCCTGTTCTGATGGTTTTGATAACTTACAGATTTCTCTCTGTGTGTGTTCTTTGTTAAATAGTTGCTTGAGAGTGGAGAACGGGGATGGTTTTTTTTTTTTTAAAAAAAAAGATAAGCTAGCGCTATAATGAGCTATTGTTTTATGTGATGCAATAAGTTTGTGGCTTCTTTGAATAACATTAGTCCAATAGTAGACATGTTGTACAGTGGCAGAGACGGTATAGGAACAGATGCTGACGTTGCCCTTGGAGTCGCAGCATGACTATGTTCAGAGATGGCTACGTGTTTGTGCAGTTATAATCCTTACCTCATTGCCGGTGTAAGCTGTGGGGGGTATTATGTTTTTGACAAAAATACTTGTGGACGAGGCACGCAGCTGTGCCAGTCGGCACGCCTTCGCAGCATAAAGGGAGGAGTCACCAATGGAAATGAAACCTAGGTCATGTGCAACTCTTACAAATGGTTGTGAAGTAGATCAGATCTTTTTTCGCTTATTTTTTTTCTTTCAAGTGATTGTACAACTCCCTTTAGATTAATTAGAACTTTATTAGGAGTTTTGGGCATAGTGCCCAGCTGGTTGCTGCTGGATCAGATTCATCATAATAGGCCTACTTTGGTCCAGAGAATGTAACAAATTATCCTGTGTCAGGAGTTAAATACTGAATCTCTGGAGCCTAATAAGTGCTTTTGTTTTTCCGAAAGTTTTAATCATAAATGTACATAGGAAGGGCACTAATGTTAGGAAATGGAATGGATGGTTTTCTGCAGTGTATTTTTAGTGTATTTTAGTGTATTTTTCATGGAAAGACCAAATAAAGACTATGAACTTCTCTTTCGTTAATAAATGATCTTTCTGTTCCTTTCCAGTTTAAAGGTAGGCAAATTTTCCTGTCTTTGGGGAATTCAAGGTTTAAAACACCAGTCTGCCATACATATTATTAGTTATTTCTGAAGGCATAAGGGAAGAAATGCTAAGCTTGAGACTCATCAGCTTACTGTACTAGTGTCTTGGTTTCTTGTTGTTTGCTTATTTAATAATGAATAGGGGGGCTCTGTCTTTTAACTTCATTTAGATTTGTGGGCTGTTTGTTTATGGTAGGCTTCTATTCTGTGTTAAATGGTATTTCTTCCACATTGTAGATGTCTCAGGAAAAGACTTCAACCACAGAGTTGATTTTGAGAACTTCAAAATATGTTTTCCAGTATTCCAGAACGTAGCAATTTAAACAGCAAATCAGTAGAATTAAAAATGAAGTCTTGGTATGTAGTTCAAAGTAGTGGATTCTGATCATTGTTCTGTTGATATAATGTCCTGTTTCTAACATACACATGATTTTTTTTTTTTTCTTGAATTTGGCACAGATCAGTTAGAATAAAGAATGCAGAAACAGAATATCCTGCTTGTCGGTCATAATGAAAAATAGAAAGTAGGATTTACTTTATCTCAATAAGCTCTTGATGCATCTATTCTGTTAGGTTGCTTGTGGCATTATCCTGCACCCAGTTCTCACAAGAAAGTAAAAAAATCTACAATTAAATTAGTCAATTTTATGATTTGGAACCAGTGCTGGGCAGCAATTTTCCTCTATCGGATGGTTCTTATTTCAAGCAAAAGGTGTAATGGCACTTTTGTGGTGTGCATGACTTTAGTCTTCTTTTCTTAAAACTATGGAAAAACGTAATTGACTTTCAGTGTACAAAAGTGTTATTGACTGCCAGTGTAGTATGAATATCTGTACATGCTGCATGGATATGAGATTTCCTCTGAACATGATTTTCCGTTGCTCGTTTCCAGTAACTGTGAAACAGGCCGTATAAGTCACTTACTGTTAGCATCTCTTCAGTTGTGCTCTGTTTCTTATGCTTACAGGTATTTTTATTGCACTTTCATTTTCATTTTACATTCAAAGATGTGTTTCTTACAGATGTGAGAAATTATTTAATGCTATGTACGTGGGAAACAGATATTCTTGATCCAGCACAAAACTTTAAGGCTATTTCCTAGAGAAGACAGCTATCTGTGGTATCATCTATATATTCTTGCCAGGAATATTTTTCAGGATTTTCTTAATGTGATATTCTTGGGCCACAATGCTAAATACATACTGTTAAAGGCACTACTTGGACTTGCGCACTTGGTTTTGCATTTACTTTTTGATCATATTAATTTAAAAAGATGATTTGTGTTTTTGAAGAAAACATTTGTAACTTTATTACAAAACTACATTGTAGTTAAGTTAATAGAAGGGGTTTTGATACCAAGCTCTCCAGGAGGAAACAATAGACTCTTTCAAGAAAGCTATTGATAAGCTAAAACTTGGACGTGAGCTTTGCCTGAGTTCTGTCTGCTCAATGAGCAAGTTGCTGCATAGACTGTAATTGTCCTAAAAGAGGGATGACATACTCATTTATATGTCAGATGCTATGAAAAAAGACAGCCTTACCTTAGTCCCTGGAAAAGTGCTGGAACAGATAGTCCTGGAAACCATTTCCAAACATATTACAGCAAGAAGGGAGCCAGGAGTAGTCACCATGAGTTTATGTAGGACATGTCATTTTATAATAAAATGAGCGCAGTGGGTGAGCAGAGCATGGTGGATGTTTTTTATCTTGAATTTAGGAAGGTATTTGACACTGTCTCCCATTATATCTCTATAGACAAATTAAATGAAATTTGGACTAGACAGGTGGACAGTGAGGTGAAATGAAAACTGGCTGGACTGTCAGGCCCAAAGAGTTGTCATCAGTTACACAATGTCCGCCTAGAGGCCAGTCACTACCGTTGTGCCCTGGAGGTTGATGCTAGATCAATACTTAACACCTTCATGATGACCTACATTATTAACAACGCGAGAAATTGGAAGGAGAGCTTTATACAGGAGGTGGTTGTGCTGCCGTTCAATGGGACCTTGACAGGCTGGAGAAATGGGCTGAGAGAAATCACATGAAATTCAAGAAAGAGAAATGCAAAGTTCTGCACTTAGGGATGCATAACACCTTGCACCAGTGTGGACTGGGTGCTCACTGCCTGAAAAGCAGCTTTGCAGTAAAGGACATGGGCATTCTGGTGGATAACAGGCTGGCCACGTGCCAAGCGGTGTGCCCGCAGGGCAAAGGGCCAACAGGATCCTGGGCTGTGTTAGGAAGAGCTTTGCCAGCAGGTTGTGGGAGGCGATCCTGTGAGCTCCCTAGGGCAAAACTGCCAGGAACTTAAGGGAGCGAGTCCAATGAAGAGGCACGAAGGTGATGAAGGGACTGGAGCATCTCTTATAGGAGGAGAGGCTGAGAGAGCTGGGACTTGCTTTGCCTCAGGGAGTTCTTACTGGTGTTTATAAATAGCTGTTGGAAGTCTCTAAGTAAGATAGAGCCAGACTTATCTCAGTGGTGTCCAGCAAAAGGACAAGAATCATTCAGTATAAACTGAAATACAGGAAACTGTTCAAACTTAAGAAAAAAGTTGTTGTCAGGGTGGCCGAACACTGGAGAAGTTTCCTTAGAAAGGTAGTGGAATCTCTGTGCCCGGAGGTGGCCTAAGCCTGACTGGACGTGGTCCTGGGCAGCCTGCTGCATGTCACCCTGCTTTGAGCAGGGGGGTTGGAAGGGATGATTTCCAGAGGTCCCTTCTGACCTCAACTGATGCTCTGATTCTGTGGCCAGTGTTACTTTAGATTAAATTCACTATATTTTCTTTTCCTTTTCTTTTCCTTTCCTTGATTTTTCACTTTTTAGTGATAGGGGAAATAGAAGAAAACAATAGTAGAGAAGAAGAATTGTTTTGAGGATACTAGTAAAGTGATAATTCTTTATTGCAAAAATGTCCCCTGTAAAGCCATGGAAAACCTCTCTGTTGGATGAATGTGGGAGTTTATTGAGCTGTAGTGCACTGCATCAACATCCTACTGCAGTACTCATTGAATGGCACTTTGTATTTGGGGTTAGGATAGGAGTGTTCCTGTGGTTTTGATGAAATTATGCATCTAATCTTTTGGTCTTTAGAGCACTTTCTGTGCAGTTTGCCCTGAGTGCTTCTATTCATCAATTCTTTTACTGCTTGAGAGTAAAGGCTGAGCACAAGTGGCTTTAGAGTATTTCGGTGATTTATTTGTTGAGAAATAAGACAGTTGAATTTTCTTCAAACTTGTTGATTTGTCTGTGTATTTTTATAGAGTCATAATCTGTAGTTCACATTTATATATGTATTAGAACAGGAATCTATTTTACAGCCTTTTTAATTCTTTGCATTAATGTATGTAGCAGCTCTGTTTTGACTGGGGATTTTGCCTTTTGAAGTTGCCATGTGTTAGTTAATAGAAGATGAGGACACATCATTTTTTGGAGTAAAGTCAGTTCTTATAAAGCGAGAATATCTGGTGAACAGTTTTCATGACAGTAGAGGATTATCTGAATATTTAGTGCTTGCATACAGTTTACTTAAGATACAAGTTCACTTGCATTTAGTGATTTTTGGTATCGCCAGCTTTCCCCTGTAGTGAGGCAATTCCAGAAGGTTGTATAACTTGTGTGTTGGACTCCAGTAGAAGAGGAGTCATGTAAGTAAAATGCTACCATATAAATGGTATTGCCTGGCAACAATAATATTATTGCTACAATAAACTGTGGAATATGAATTGCTACAGTAGTATTACTACTTCTGAGTTATGATACAGAACAGCATTTTTCCATAGTCTTTGTTTTCATGATTTGGCTTCTCTGATGTCATTAAATAAAACCCTCCTGCTGCCTTTTGGCAAATCACTTTACCAGATTGACTCATCAGTGGATGTGATATTACACAACTCTTTTTGAGGACATGAAAGGTGCTCACATATCTGGCAAGAAAAAAGTGTTATTCTTTAACTAGCGTTTTTCCCCTTTATGGTTTGTATATGTTATAGGATGTATTTACAGTAAAATACTAAAATATCTTATGTATGATATCTATTACATAAGATCTGACCAAATAGACTCCATTCTTACCTCAGTAGTTTAATTCACTACAGCAATATTCGAAGCTTGCAATAATTTTAATTATTTTGGTGCCCAAAGCTATTGTTAATAATGCACACCATCTCTTGTATGTTACCTGTGAGCTCGGATGATCATTGAACAATTAAATCTTATGTACAAGTTATAATAAAGATCTGAAATGTGTTAGACTAACAGAAAACATTAACTCTTTCATTATACACGGTAGTTCTGTAGAAGGTGAGAAATCTCAGCAGTCACACTCGGATGCAGGATGTAAGTACTCAAATAGGATACGGCCACAATATAAATATTATTAATCTTGTTTTTCAAATATAGTGCTAGAGCCTATCTAGAAATTATTTATTTTTGTTAATGTTCATGGAGTAGTAGCATTGAAGAGGAAAGCTAGATTCCTGTTTCAGTCTTGGTCCTTCCTCCCGCTCTCTTGGGCTGTAAATCAGTCCCATAGATCAGATACCGATTGTGAAACTTCTAAGACTGGAATGTTTCCAAGAGGTTGGAGGTGAGGAAAAACAGGAGGAAGACTTATTTTTTGTTCAGTTTTGGGAAAGTATTTTGATTTATTTGGGTGCTGGGTTTTTTGAATAATATGGTTCGGTCTGAACTTTGAGAATTCTCCTGCCCCAGTGAGAAAGGCACTGGGAACTGGATGTGATTTAAAACATTGAGGTATAGTATTCCATAGTGCTTGCTGATAAATCTTGTGTGATTTTCTGTTTTTTTTCCAAGTCAAGCTTTTAGGTGCATTACTACTTAAAGAAAATCCCTTCATGTAATAGAGTATCTAAAAGAAGGTTAAAAAAAAAATCAGCATAATGCCTAATGAAATATTGCACACTCAACGCCTGTGCTTTACAAAAAGGACAAAAAGTGAATTCCCTTGTCATATTACTATGCTTTGCCTGTTTTTCTACATGATTTAGTAGGGCTTTTGATTTTAATACTGCCCAGTAAAAAATTTGTAAGGAAATACAGCATCTCAATAACATTTGATTACATTTCTATGCAGAGACTCTGTTTCTAGGGTTATTAACATGCTAATATGGACATATAATACTACATCATTCAGAGACCCTATGCATGATTTTGTGCGTGGTATATTTTAATGCACTACAACTTGTATTTTATTTTGAACTACCGTTGAATTTCTAAATAGCGTGCTTCCAAGCGCTCTCAATAGTCTATGGAGGGAACGCTTGCTGTTGGCTTGATCTTTGCTGTCAAGGTAAATAGTATAAATGTTATATATTCCATGTATATGTCTTTGAAACCTTTCTATTTTATGTAGGGTTAAATTTACTCTTTCTTCCAGTGAACTAATACATTAAAGTTGAGTCAAGTTGAATTTCATTCTAACTTTACGTAGAATGAAATTAATTCTAGAACACCTTAAATTTTAAAAAGTCGTTATTTTTTTGTATTCTGTTTAAATTTGTGAATCATTTTCTTGGCCAGAAGGTCAAGGATATAACTAAAAGGAAAGAAAAATGCAACTTGTTTTTCAGGCACGAACAACTTTTCAGTAATCTCAGAACTATGTGTTAGAAGTTGCAATGTTTGTGCAGTTTAATTATTGATGAGTGATTATGTGGTGCCTAACAGTCTTTTATGAAATAAATCTTTCATAGCTAAGTATTCAAGCATACAAGCAAACAAGGAGAGAGTAGTGGTTTTGTTCAGTGATTACAAATAAACGCTTTGACTTGCGTATTTGAGAAAGCAACTAAAATGGTTACTAATAATCCTTATTTATTTATAATTAATAGAAAATAGTCGCAGATATAATTTCTTTTTAGTAAAATAAATATTATTTGAATCATCAAAAAAGAGGTGATAATGGCTTGTATCTAATCCACACCTAACAGTACGTACTAGAAGCTGGTGTGTTTATGTGTGCATGCGTAATTGAAACAGTGAAAATCCTGCAGAGTTCATCTTAAAGCTTAGCGAAGTGGTAAAGAGTGTCTCTGTACCTTGCTGATGAAGTTGTTCCCTTTGCTGTAGCAGTGAAACGCCAGGATGAGTACTCTACGTTGCGGCATGCTGTAATTCTAGCTAAGCAGGCATCTGCAGCGGTCTGTGCTCTTCACACTAACCATCTGCTCTTGGCTTGGCTTTTACAAGTCTTTCTGTCTGAATATATTGTTCTGAATGATGGTGTTTTCTGTTCCTTTTGCTGTCATATTTTTGTACCCTGATCAGTTTTATTTTCTGCATACCATACACATAAATGGATGATGCATAATAGTTTAATTAGCAGTTGAATCAAAAGTTGGTTTGGGATGTTATTTAATTTTTGTTATGCTGTCTGTTTTTGTATAGTTTTTAATGGAAAAAATGCTGAAATACTTTCTATAACAGCATAGTCAAGTCATGTGTCGTAGACTTACAGATATACATATATATATGTGTACATACATGTGTATATGTATGAAAATTACCAACAACATTGTGTTCTCAGGCTGTTAAATAACAGCTGCCTTACCTTTTCCATTCCAGGAGCTGCTAGACACTTTCTGGAAACTGGCATGGCCAGTCTCGTACTGGTCTAAAGCATCAGAAAGTTCGTTATCACTGGGAGGGTGTGTGACACCAGTCGCTATCTTGCTTGTCTGCATCTAAGTGCTGTCGATAGCTTTGAGAAGGAATAGCGTGCCCGAGTACAGGGTGTTGAAGGGAGCTTACAGTGGTCCAGCAGATGATCGTTCTAATTGAAAGGGAATTCATTATGCTTTAGTAGCTTTGTGCGCTGTATGCTTGGATGCACTGCCACACGTTGTGGAAGGCTGAATTGTTTTCCACAGGAAACCTGCTGCCTTCTTTCTGCCATGTAGTGTGGGGTCCTGTAAGAATATAGTAGGAATATCCCCCTGTGCAGTGGCAGTACTTCATCTTCTCAATGAGATGTTGCTGTATGCAAGTCCTGCATAAATGTCTGGATAGATGCTGGAGGACAGATCCCAAATCACTATGAGGAATAAATACCTGGATAGAGATCCTGGAGTGGATCACTGAGAAATACAGAGAGCAGGAAATGAACCCAGATTGTGTCAACAGGGCAATAATGTCTTTGTAAAATACGGTTGCATTTCTAGAAGTCAAAAATAAGATTAAGGGACCGTAGCTATTACTACTCTTTTGATGATTTCCCGCCCCTCCCCAGTATCACATGAATCTTTAAAATAGGGTGTTATGTATAAAACCAAACCTTGGTCAGCTGCTTGTGTACTGTAGTTTAGTCGCTTTGTTTGATCCCTCCATGTTCTAATTGCAGGAAGCCATGAGTTGCCGAAGTGCTGGGGACTGTCAAGCAGATATGCTGTGTATCCAAACTAAGGATGCTATTGCTTTCAGTTCTGACTTTAGAGTATCTATTATGAGCAGGGAATTGCTGAAATCAGAAAACTTCCTTACAAGTTCCAGTTTCAGAATAATTGCTTTCTTCTCCGGAGGGCTGTGATTGCTCCTTGCCCCTGACTCACAACAGGTTCCTGTCCTCATAACCTCCTGGAAAACCTGCCTGTGGAGCTCCAGGAGACAGAGCTGTGAATGCTGCTACTGGCATGGTTTGGTGCAGAGTTCTGTGATGGCAGGGAGATATGATGCTGCGACATAGTTTGGTAACATAGGTACCAGGAGATGTGGATGTGTGTTTGGGTGCCTTTGCAGACAATTTAGGGGTCAACCATACACAAATTTTCCCCATTTGGCATACCATGGTATCGTCAGTGTGGTCTTAGTTTTATGGTGTCTTCAAGGTTGCTGCTACACAACAGCACAGCTGAAGTAACCTCATTTCTGATGGTAAGGAAGTGTTGACTGATTTTACAGCTGTATGACTAGGAAGATATTAGTGAAGCAAATACTAGTAGTTTATCAGGCTGTAGCTTGTTTTCAGTGATGTATGACATGATTATCATGGATTAGAAAAATACAGAAGCAGCATGCTATTTTATTGAGTTGATTGCTCTTGTATACTTTTTTAAAAAGTATGTGCTACATATATCTGTTGTATATCTATATAGAACAGAGTATTGTGTATCTATATAAAACACAGTACTCATATTAATAATTATACCTCTTTCACAGATTACTAAAATAGAAAACATCAGTCATTTGAGTGAACTGAGAGTGTTAAACCTTGCCAGAAACCTACTAACCATTGTAGAAAACCTTAATGGACTGGATTCGCTCACAGAGCTCAACCTTCGTCATAATCAAGTTTCTACTATTGTAAGGAACAAAACTCTTGTATTTTTTCTCTTTTCTTTTTTTTTCTTTGTTTTTAACAAAATGCACTATTACTGTAACTTGTTAACCACATCAGGATTTCAGATCTGTGAAAATTTGCGGTTTTGAGTATTGTGTTGCTTATGTTCAGCTTGCTTTTACAACATAAAGGTGAAAAAACCCAGCAATTTTATTTTTGGTGTTGTTTTGTTTGAATGTCATCACTTGTAGTGATTCAAATCTTGATAGGTCATGATTGTTCTCCAGGGACGTGGGGGAAAGATTCTGAAGAAGCTTTGTAGTTCTAACATACATTTAGTTACTTTTCTTCCATACAAGTTTGTTTCCTAGAAACAAACCCTCTGTTAATTTCTGCCGCTCAGCTAAGCAGTCAGACTGTCTTAAATTTCATCTCCTTATGAATATTTCTAGGGCAAATGCAGAGAAAATAGATATTGATCTTAGAAGCAGAATTTCCCCATTGAAGCTGTAACCTAGCATTGTAAGTCTTTATGTTCTAAAAAATAACGCTTTTCACTTTGCAAAAGTTGTAGTTCAGGTACGGCAAGTAGATTATTTGAACAAGCACTTTTTAAAATAATACAGTAAGTCTACTGAAATAGGTGTATTTTCCTGGCCCTCATAATTCCTTTAGTTCTTGGTCTCCTATTGCTACTGAGCCTTTACTTTCTTGAATTTCTGCTACTTGCCATGTATGAATTGTTTTTACACTTAAAAAATAAGAAATTTCTGGCCGTTGCTGATTCTGTTACTGTACCTTCCCTCTACATCAGTTATGTTACCTAGAATTCTCTTCCTTGCTTGTAGCTGCTGCTGTTCCACTCCTCTCAGGTGTAGCTCGTACTTTCTCCTTGCTTTCTGTTGTCACCAATGGAGAGTCAGCATGAAATTTAAATTAGTGAGTTACAGGCTTGGACTCTGTGCTGTGCATCAATCTCTTCGTCTTTCCTGGCCAGAAACAGTGTTTCAGAAGATGATGTTCTCTTCAGGGAAGGACTTTATTTTGTCTAATTGTGTATTTTTGCCTCCTGCCCCCCCTCTTTTTTAGCCCTGGGTAAATTCTAATGGAATGGTGGTTTGGGGCGGGGGATTGTATTTGTTTTGGTTTTAGTTGGATGGTGATTTTAGCAAGTGTGGCACTAACTCTCCTTCCTCTGCAGAATGAATGTTAAATCCTGTGAAGTTAAGTTTTGGACACGTCATACTGTCTGAAACCTGAAGTAAATATATGTCTTTTTCCCCAAAATATTTTTTTTTCTTATTTTAATGATAGGTGTTGTCTTTATCTCTGTCTGCAACAGTGTAGATGTGTTTCTTTACTTCAATTTGTTTTATTGTTTTTGAAAAAATGAAACCTGCATTACTTTTTTATTGAAATTCAGAATCTGACGCAATATGAAATTACTGAAAATCTAGGAACATAGAAACAAATATATCACTTTATGGAAGGAATATCCAAGATGCTGTTTCATTATTGCTGGAGTACTTGAGTATTTGAGGGAGGGCGTTTAGATTTCTTTTCTTTAAGATGAAGTTTTCTTATGGTTTACTGGGGATGGGGGTGTGTGTGTGTGTGTGATTTTAATCATGATATAGTTATGATGGTAGCTCTTAACTGCAAAATTTTCACTCAAAGTTAATTAAAATAAATGATTTGGTTTCTGTCCTTTAGTTTTTGGACTGTTTTAGTTAACACCATGAATCAAGCTTTTTAAACTTGATTATTCATTTAAATGAAATAATCTAATTTCAATTTAAAGTTTGCTGTCCCAAAATCGTGAAATGAAATCGATATAATTTAAATAACTTTCTCTTTCAGTACATTTTTGGTGCACCTTCCTTATTTTTTTACCTCTCCTCCCCCCCCCTCTGTATTATTCTTGTGTAGGAAAGGTGATACTCCCATTTGTCAAACAAAATGAAGTTCCATACTGAACTCCATACACATTGCAGTTAGCTGTATCGAATAATTAATTCAAGCTATCCAACTAGATTGTAATTTGTTTGAGCCATTAAACAGATAATCATCTCTTACAATCCACTGACCTTAGATTAGCAATTTTGGGACTGATTTTTTGCTTTGAGATATTCATTTTGGAGACTAGAAATCCTTGAACCACAAGTAGTTATTTTTATAAGAATAAACTGTAGTTTGTCCAAAGCTGTAGGATTTTAAAAAGGCAGTCCTAAGGTTTGGTTTATAGCAGAATCACATTATAAGATTGGAAGTTTCTTCAAGAAGTCTGGCTATTCTGAAGAATAACAAACAGACAGAATAAATTATTACAACCTGTCTCGTATGGCATTAAAAGCACAAATCTATACATATGATGAATTGTGGAATGTTTGTTTACTTTCCTTCCACTTGTGAGTTAGGGCCCAGTGTTAAGAAGATGAATTATATTTTTGTTTGAAAGATGGACCTGCTTGGTTACTTTGAGGTATTAAAAGCTTAGAATTTTGGTTTTTGTCATCTGCAGCTTGATCTTAGACTTGGAGGAGGACTGGTCAAGGTGCTCACAATTTTTTGACAGAAGAACTCCCGCCCTGCATGTCTGCTGCCCTATATGATTTTGTATCAAAACTGAAGTAGCTGGAGGCTTTTTTTTTTTTTTGAATCCTACTTAAGGTGTTTGCTGTCATGCCTGTGAAACTTGCAACGTGTTTTACAGGCCAGCAACATATCATACTAGTTATGGAAATTTGTATTCAGGGGAAATGACTTTGTGTTCTCCAATGCAAAATTATTTGATTAGTTCAGAATTGTTGCCGCTTAAGAATTACTGTGCCCGTCCCTGTAATGCCTGTCATCTTGTGTATATCCACCTGCATCATGCGCACCCACCCCTGTAAACATCCACACTAAGTGGCCTTAGGGACAGAGGGGATCTCCAGATGCAGTTCTGTTGTGAACTCAAGTCCTTCCGTGGTCTGATCTGGGAGGACTCAGAACTGCTCTGAACCAGAAGTGTTTCAACTGCAGACCTGAGCTCATAGGCCCTGCTTATTGTATATGCAGAGCTCTGAGGCATAGCCATGCTTGCTGGCTCACAGGCAGTGTTTCCTGGATAGCAGGTATGCAGTTGGTTTAGAGCTGCCTTGCGTTCACCCGTTTGGGTAGAAGGGACTGTTTCTGGAATGCAAAGTCACAACCTAGATGGAGGGAGGAAGGGCTGTAGATTTGGTTTTGTGGCTAAAATCAAGGTGGTGAGCCCTGTGATGCTTCACTGTGCTGTAGGTAGCAGGCTTGTGTCCACTGGTTGCAAGTTGGAGTATGCTGCTTAATAGGATAAGGAGAGGCAGACTGATAACTGAGGGGTTAGGTGGGCAGGCTGAGTGGTATATGAGTCACTGCAGGCTGTGTTGTCTGCCCATTATGGATTTGTGTTTCATAAATTATCTTGATCTGTTTCATCGTATTGGTATTTGAGCTACTTGCTATGTAGAGGTTTTCTGCAGAGGTCTTTAGTGGCATATATTAAATTTATAATTACTTGTTCTGGAAACTCATTCCTCCTTAAAAATTTTGGTCGTAAAGGTGACAGAGTCCTTCAGATCATTCTCTGGCAGAAGAGTCACTGCTGTTTGGCAGTGCTAACTGCACTGCTGCATTGTATTTCAAAAACCTTATTTCAGCATGGTCACAAAATAAACTCTTACTCTTTTTTTTTGTTGTTGTTGTTTTTGGTTTTTTTTACAGTGAGTTTATCCTGCAGCTTAAATGCTGAGACAGCACCTTGGCTTTTTTCCCAAAAGCCTGTTCAGAAACCAGCAGTAGCCTTATCCTCTTTTCTTTAACATCGTTTGCTTTGCAAGTGATGCAGCTTGTTCTGCAGAGTGGATATCTGCACTGAAACACTCCCTTGCAGTCTGCACGAGGGAGAAATGGAGCTGCACGTTCCACAGAAATCAATGTTGCAGCACGGTTATAGCTTATAGAAATGAAAGTGTTTCATCAGGCGAAGTAGAGAGGTTCAAAAGCTACTTTCAGCTACTGAATTTATGCCTCTCTCTTTCCTTCTAGAAAGATGTGGATACTTTGCCCCGTCTCCAACGCCTCTTCCTCAGCTTCAACAATATATCTAGGTAAGGGAAATAGCAGTTTGCTTCCTATCCATAATTTGAAGTATCCTATTGCAGCTGTGTTTCATTAAAATTTAAATTCAAACAATATGAGTGCAGATACTTTTTTTTTTTCTGAATGTATCAGATACACAATGGCTTGATTATGCTATTTTCTACTTCAAATATAAAAATTCTTGAAACACTTTGCAATTAAATGTAGTTGTACTATGAATATTCTACCAAGAAACTTACATTTTTGATTTAAAAATTATCATACTGTTTACAATGATGATCAAAATTAAAAATAGTTTTGTAAATATGTTGTTTTACTGTTAAACTAGGTGTCTGTTAAAGCAACATTGCACAAGGTACATATTATATTTAACATACCATCAGTGTATTTATGGAGTTACACAAACTGCTGAGTCAGATTCTGCTTGTGATGATTAGATTATTTTGTGCTTGTATTTTACTTATCCGTATATTAATAAAGCCTGAAAGGTATATCCATGGTTATTTTTCTTTCAAACCAGATGGCAAAAGCAGAATAGCTCAATTTTCAAAGCAGGGCTTTTATAGTTTCAAGTAACTAAGTGTGTTTTGTTAGACAGAAATATTTGTCTTCTGTGCTTTTTTGTATTCATGCATTTTTGAAGTCTGCATTTATACTAGTGCCAATTAAAAAAAAAAAAAAGTGCCTGCATTATCTCACTTTGGTATGTCCTTTCTTTTCTTAATCCCTTAATCACCACCAGCCTTCTTCATTTAGAATCAAATAATTTAACATGGGATAGGGGGAAGATGCTTCATGTTCTAATTACTGGAAATACCGTGCTGTTCTTGTGGTATCTGCTTTCTCTGTAGTGTAAGCTTTTATCGTAATAGCTCCTTGAACATTATGTTTTTTGCAGACAGCTCCAACCTGCTTGTCTGTGTTCCTTAGGTTCTTAAAGTACCACTGCAGTAGATCTCCTTAAGTACTCATGGGTCATTACATTAAGCATTTAAAAGAAAAAATCAGAGATGAACAGAAATCTTTAATATGCCCTTCCCTTAATTAGTCTGCTAGAGAGGGACTTAGCATTTTGCCTCTCTGGAATAATTTCCAGAATTGAAACATGCCTTTTGTTTCTGTTTTTCTAAAAAATGTCTTAGCTTGGCAAGAACAATGAGGGGACTGCAGTAGCTGGCTCCCTTGCCATCAGGGAGCGTCACTGCAGTCAGTGGAATTTCTTTCTCTCTCTATAGACTTGGTATACTTTATGCAGCTTTCTGACTCCTTTCTCATGTTGTTTTATGCAAATTCATGTTGTTTTCATAGTGTTCGAAGGAGGAAAAATGTTTCAATTTTTCTGTGAGGTTTTTTAAAGTAGATTTCTCAAACTTTATGTAGTCAGTAACTTACTTCTTGGTACTTCTTCATGATTATCGTAATTTGCTCATTGAGACTTCAGTTGAACTATTGATAGATCTAGTTTTAGTATTCGTGTAAGCTGGAAATATTTAGAACATTCATGGAAATACCTAATTTGGTTTTAATTTGTAGATGGAATAGGTATAAAAATGTCAAGTAAAAGACACTGCTCTTCTATAAATTTTATATACATACGGGAGTAGGTAGGTGGATGGATCAGCTTAACCCTTTATTTGCCAGACGTTATTTTAAAATGAACAAATGAAAAATTTCTTTTGATGATCCCATTTAGTGTGGGGATTTGCAATAGTAGCGTTCTATTGCATATAGTGGTTTTGAAGGGTAAAACCCTCCCATTAATTCCTGATTTTGCATTATGTAGTAGGTAGGTCTTCTAACAGGAAAATGATTAAATATAAAAGTATACTCTTGACCATTTGTGTTCTGATACTTGGCTTGATACTGTTTGAACTGACTGAAGAAGTTATATGCAAATTTATAAATACTTTGTTAAATACTTGAACAAAAGCAGTACAAGGGTGATGAAAGGTTGACTGTGGTAACATGTTTTCATCAGTAGTTTACGGGTTAGAAACCTGGGGAAATCCAAGTTTTCTTCTTTGACTAAATGTTTTTGAACATGCAGTTCCCTTTTGGGTGTTCATGGTGGTATTAGGTCAACGGTTGGACTTGATGATCTCAGAGGTCTATTCCAACCTAATGATTCTATGATTCTACCAGACTATAGCAAGTATGTGGCCTTCCTTCTCTTCTCCAGAGCTTTTCCCCGTTATGGAACATGCTTTAAAAAAGTCTTTGATGCAAATGTGTAGAGAAGGAACAACTGCCTTCCTAAGCAAGTAGGCTGTAGCAGAGGACAAGTGTTCCTGTGTCCTGTTCTTGCCTCCTAAATGTGTAAATGTGAATGCGTATCACTGGTGGAGGTTGAGCTTACACCACTCCAGAATACCCTGCTGCTTAGTAATTGTCATGTTCTCATAGGAGGCAGGAGAAGTGGGTTTGCATCCCCTCTGGCGGAGGGGAGAATTGGATGCAGGACTCTGAGCATGCACACAAGATGTAAAACTGATCTATTCTGAAAAGATTTCCAGAAAACAGTTTTTGATAATTTAGTCCAAATTCACAATTTGTTTCTGTGTTGCTGAAACTACCATTTCGGCAAAGATAAATTCATCTAGGAAGAAAGAAGTACAGGGAAGAAGAGGGGGTTGCCCTAGTTTGGTGAGACTTCTGCAGAGAAGGTCTTGGGGAAGAGTGAGCCAGACATTCCAGTCAAGAAGATTGCCTGAGGCAGTCTGAGGCATCATCGACAGCTGCTTTGTATTTCATGAGGAGGTTAAAGACCCTTCTGTGGTGAACAGAGGCTAGAGAGAGCATGGAGACCTGGCCTCTGATTCCGGTAGGGGAGTCACCACTTGGCTCTGGCACAGCAGTCTGTGTGGTGGGAAGCAGACGGGAGCTTGGTTGTAAAGTATGCAGTCAGTTTGGTGTGTTCCATTAAAGCTTTGCTTGGCTTGAGATTGGGATGCCACTGTGACAAGTACAATGTAAGTTTTCTACAGTGAATTTCTAAAGCTCTGTTTTTCATATTTGTGTGCAAAGATGTGAAAACAGCTATTTTGCACTACTGATTTGCTCTAAAATTGAGCTGCTAATAGGGCAGCTAAAAGCAGTATAAAACAAGCACATCTGTTTTACCATCCAGAATGAATGTTCTGCTGTGCTGAGGCACTGCGAATTTCAAAGCACAGCAGCATGTATAAGTGGAAGGTCTTGAAAATGGTAGCAAACTTTCAACTTCTCTGTCATTTCCTAGAAAGGTTGGTTTTATTAAAAAATGTGAAAATTGTATGTAATGGCAGAAGTACTGTTTGGTTAAATGTTTAATGGGAAGTGCTTGGAGTAAATATATTCAATGCTTTAAATAAGTATATTTACATTATTTTAAACTCATTTGGAGGACCAGAAAATTTAAAAATTTGTTAAGCAAAATCTGTTCTAGCTCAATAGAAATTCAGTTCTCTTTTCTTTTTCTAACATGTTCATGAGTTTGCTTTACTAACTTCTGTGTCATTTGGGAAGGTTGTCTTTTATCTTCAGGACGTATTGAGTATGTATTTTAAGTAATCTGAAGGCCTGGTTTTCCAAAAATGTGGTTACACAAGCTGTTCTATGGAAAGGAAACCAGATCACAAAAAAAGTGGAAAAGGATAATCAAACTTGTCTTAAACACATGTAAAAACCACCCAGTTCTTCATACCAGCTAAGCACCTTCACTGCCTTCATTGGAATCTGTACATAGGTCATTTTCTGTCAGTTCTTATGTTGTTTTGATACCCTGAGCAGAAAGACAGCAGTATCTTCCGCTTCACGCTGGCATTTTTCTGCTTCATCCATTGGGTATGTCCTGTAGAAGTTACTTGCATGCTGTACTAATTGTGTTGGTTTTTTGAGGTTTGTGTTGGGTGATTTCTTTTCTTTACTCCTGCTAGCTTATGTTGTTATCTAAGCCTTTCTTCTGCTGGTTGAGACTGATTGCTATTTAGTGATATTGTTTTTATATTTTATCGGCATTTTTTTTGTTGCTGTGGCCAACGTTCTTTTATCTAATATCTAGAGTCTTTCAGGGATAGCTGATGTTAAAAACTAATGTTCCGGTAGATCTGAAATCCTTTCCAGCTGAATGTTAGTCCTCAACAGATTATTGCTTGCTTTTTTTGAAAGTTGAGTGATACCAATGGTAAAGGGAGTTGCCACTTTGTTCAATGACACTCTTTAATATGAACATCTGTACTGCATACAATTTCTGATCCCTGAGTTTGGGGCATACGTAAGGTTTGGTGTCCTTCCAAGTATTAGTGGAGGAAGGCTTTTCCTGCCACCAAGAGTGAGAAGAACTGTAACCAGTTGATGCAATTGGTAAGATTGTCAGAATATTAAAAAAAAAAGGCAATAATTCTGTATTTTCCACTTCAGAAGTGGCCTCATTTCAGAATGTTGTTGGTTTTTTATCTAGTAAAGTGATTCTCTGTTTATATTTTTGTGATCATCATTGATTCTTTTGTAATTTTCAGATTTTTAACTTCATTCTCAAAAGTAGCAAGTCAAATTATTTCATGCTCTCCACTTGAACTTATTTAACTTCCTAACACAGACTCGATTTTTGAAGGCCAAAGTGCGTAAGATGGGTGCGCAGTTGTACATTTAAACACTGTAATCAATTTCTTAAAAGGCATTTGGGAGTCGAAATTACTTCTATAACTGTTCAGCTTTTTTTGTAATCAAGTTAAATAGTTCTCTGTTTAAAAATACTGTTTATCTGAGTCAGCTGCTTTCTCTTCACATTCAATTTTCAGTGAAAGGAACACAATACAGGCTATACATCTCTACATACATTTACAAATGCTTTCTAAAAAGCCTACTTATTAGTGTTTGTAGACTGAACTCAGAACAATAGACCTGTTTTGTGGGTAATATGATTTTGTAATTGTTGTTCTTCCGGTACTTAATGATGTTGCAAACACCCAGGATCATTCTGTGGTATTTGTTGTTGGCTTTTTTCTTGTATTTTCCATGGTTTTCATGCTGGCAAATACATCTCATTTTATTTTTTCGAATAGAAGTTGATACATACTGAGTTCTAGGGGTTTTTTTAAGTGAAGCTACACTCCCGTAGTTAACAAGTTCTTATTCTGCGCATCTTTTTTTACCTGTATGTGAAGAGATTAAAAAGTTTTAACAGCAGAAGCTGTTGGTATTTCAAAATACTTATAATTTGATTTGTCATACACAGTATTGATGGGTGGGGTTTTTTCAGTACAGATAAATATTAATGTTCTATCTTTAAGAAATAAAATCTTCCATGTCAAAAATTATTCCTGCTCCATGACATTAAAACTTTAAACTTTTTTGGTTACAGTTTTGAGGATATTCTGTGCCTTGCTGATTCCTCATCTTTGTCAGATATCACCCTTGATGGCAATCCAATAGCTCAGGAGACATGGTACAAACACACTGTTCTCCATCATATGATGCAGCTCCGACAGCTAGATATGAAGAGAATCACAGTAAGAAATTTCTGTTTTTGTCAAACATACTAGATCCTTAAATTCAGAAGTAAAATGTAGGGTTTTCTGTATATATATGTATATTAAAAATACCACCATTTTTTCTTAATTTAGTATGGAATTGAACGGTGTATAGACATTACAGTATTTAGAACTTTAAACTTTTGTCTTTCATTCCGTATTACCTAAGGGTGTGCTTTTTTTACTTCATTTTAACATGCTTATTTTTAAAGGCTTAAACTCTTTGTTAATAAATAGTGTGATCAATTGCCAAGTGCAAAGCTTTTGGTTAGAACTTCCTCAACACAGTCTTTACTGGTTTGCTGTATAGCTGAGAAGAAACAGCGTATTTCTTCCAAAGGAATAGTCTGTTCACCCTAAAATTTGTGTTATTGGTATCTTCTTTCATTTAAAAATCTTGTTGGTTTCTTTAGTCTGCCTCCCTAAGGAAACCTGGTGATCACACTGTTTCTGTGTCTCTGTCTGTTTCTCCTTTCCTAATCTCCTCTTCCCCGTTCATTTCTGTTCCTGCTGCTCAAGTTCAAGTAACCCTGATAAGGAAGAGAGGACTGGCAGACAGCTAAGTCTCCCACAGACTTCTTGAAAATATACTGTAAGGTAGAGGACGAAGGGTAATCACTGGGGGCCTTACCATTAAGTCAACTATTTTGTCTCTTAATATAGGAATAGCTGTGCTAATTCTTCTGTGTCTACGCAACAGTGCTGTGTCAGCACGACCTTTTTACAAGACCAATGCGTCCAACAGCAAAATAACAGATGTCATGTGCTTTACAAGCAACAGTGTTGCAGCGTTACCTTTTTTGACCAGGTGCTGATGTGTATACTTTATTTTAAATGCTCATGTGCTAATAAATGGCACCTGTTGTTTTACCATCTGTCCTGTTGTCTTGTAGCTCATTCACCGTGAGTATAAAATAGAGCCAACTATGATGTAAAACATCACATCTATGTGGAAAACCTTAATTTTAAAATTAAAGTGCTTTGGGACATGAGTTTTACTCCCAGCATTGAAAATACTAAGTACTTGTTTGCTTGCAGGTATTCTATGGGTTGGGTTTTGGTTTTGGTTTTTTTTGTTACATTGACTAAATTGAAGACTTGTTAGTTGCTTTGCTTTTTAAAAAGATTGTTTTCTCAGTATTATTTCAGAAACTAGAGTCACATAAATAAATGTCTCGTTTCCCCCCCAGCCCCTTCTTGAGAGGAGACAGATCCTGGTAGAACTCCCATTGATGGGAAAAACTGTAAGAAGAACTCAAACTCCTTTTTAGACTCTGTGGGATCTGTATGGGGAAAAAGCTATTAGAAATGCACAGCCATGGGAAGAGCTTAATCTGGGTTTGCACCTTGTTAAACCTCAGAGAATCAACCACAAGACAGAAAGCTATAGAAAACCAGGTTTCACCATTGTGCTACTCGTAAATCTGCTTGTAAAAAGAATGTGTTTTGCGTTCTTTTTACTAGCCTTCTGGTTTTTGAGCCTTGAGAACTTTTTTTTAACATTTTCTCCATGTAGAGGGTGCTGTATGTTTTCTGCAATAAAAACTGTGTTACCGAGATAGTCATATGACTTAAACTGGGATTTTAAGAAAAATAACAAGTATCATGAGATTTGTGATAAAATTAGAGAGTTGACAATGCCAAATCCAGCTATTCTGTCTAGGTAGCTGTAAGCGTAAATGTAACTTGGTGGGGGAGCGGACATACGATGTTGGGTACGGACGTTTTCTCACTCGGTTCATACACCTAAGCTCTAATTACTTTTATAGGGTCTTTTGCTCATTAGTCTGAAGAGCG